CCTTTTTGGGATTTAAATTTTTCTTATCTTCAAAGTGATACATATTTATGACAGGAAATTTAGAAAGTATAGACAAAACGAAGAGAGTAAGACCACACACCATCTTGCTCTACAGTCTCGTCAATGCTTCAGAAGCTTCCTGAGCGGCGGGTGTGCTTTTCTTTGTAGCAGGCCCTACCTGCCTTTCCACCTCCTTCTTACTGTTCACTGTTGTATTTTACTTTCAGATCAGCCAATGTTCTTCTGCCTTGGTTTTGACAGGAGGGCCCGGTTCCTGGAGAAGGATGTCATGCTTGATGAAGTAGAGGGTCAGTGAGTGAGAGGAGGCCCCTGGGTGACGTGGAGTCACACAAAGTTGTGCTCAAACCCAGAGAGAGCATGAGGCAGGATGGGCACTTCCTCCTGCTGACCGTGGCTCGCTGGGTGCTGCCAGCCCAATGGCACTTAACAACAGAGTAGTTACAATGTCTGTTGCTGATGTTGTTCAGTGTGTTTGATTGACTACAACTGTGGTATTAAGGGTTTATGGTCCAAAATGACTTCTTTCCCATTAACTTACTTTGCCGTGTAGATGGGCGGGAATATGCAAATAAGGTATGTTAGCCTACACACAGGGGGCTTGGCTAGCCAATCTACAAGGGGATAGGCTAGCCTGACCATTAAGTTGAGTGGACCCAGTAGGAGAATTCCAAGCTCTTCCCTGCCAGAAAATAAGAAGCAGGGAAATGTAGAGCATCCTTCAGGCCCAGGAGTTCTTGCTCCAGCTAGGTCTATGGCAGCAGCAGGCATGGTCTAAGCAGAGGACGAGAGACCAATTTGATATGGCGATGATCTTGGGACCGCTAACCACCACAGGACCAGAGCTGAGGGCCATTGTTCAAATTTGTTGGACAGCGGGAGGCCTGGGGGTAGGGGACCATAATTGGCAGGGCTGAGAGCTTTGTAACACTGGCCTAAGGCCACCAGGCTCAAGGCCGAGGTGCCTGCAAGCACATTTTGGAAGCTGTTTCTGACTGTATTCTGCTACCAACTTGGATTATAACCTTTGCCTTCCCCAATATGGTTCTGCATGTTCTGTGAGCTAGTACATCAGATTTTGGACCCAGTAAAGCAATAAGATTGTGGTTGAGATGAGTAGAAAGAGATATGGGAGCATGGGGGCCAGGGAGCATGTCTGACCTCATGGAACTGATGCTGCGGATGGGGGCAGTTCCCCTTTGTGATGCTGGTAAAGGTCAGATATGGCTGTCCCCATGCACTGCTGTTGCTCTTTTTACAATTTGTAGTGACAGCAATCAGATTGAAACCCTGCCATATCTTGCACCATTTTTACAATCTCTGTTATGTTCAAAACCATTGTTACAGACACTGTCCCAGTCCATCTCATGAAGAATCTTCCTCTCTTCCACTGACCTGTGACTTTTCCCAGGGTGCTGTCCGCTTCCAAGAACTGGCACTTTCTGACGACATGCCCAGGTGGATGAGTTGTCATTTTGTCATTCTTGCCTCTAAGGAGCTGGTGGTTACACTTCTTTAAAGATGTGTCTGTTTGTTCTTTTGGTGGTCTGCAGGGTCCTCAGTGTCTGGGCAGTAGTATTTTGAAGGCACCTTGGTGATACGGTAGTCAAATGTTTGACTGCTTAGCAGAAGGTCCTTACAGAGAACCTCCTGGCTCTTCCTCTGGAGAAGAAACTTGGATGTTTATTTCCATGATGACTGGGACAGCCCGAACACCCTGTTGGGATGTCCTCCAGGGTCTCTGGGAGTCAAGATTGACTTGAGGGCAGTAGGTGTGGTGATTTTTTTCTTCTTTGTTTTGTTTGAGGGGCTCTGATAGTGTGATGCTTAGCTACTCGCCAGCGGCTGGTGAGTGGACTCCCGCAGCTGCCGTGCTGGGGAGAGATGAGGCTGCTTTTGTGAAGCAGATCTCCTCTGTCCTGCAGAGGCCCTAGGTTGGTTCTGTTCTGTGGAATGTCCAGTAACACTAGCATTTCTGTGCGACCCAGTCTGCAGAGAACGGCCCGTCGGTTTCCAAAGCTGTCAGTTTTACAGGGCCAGACGCTCGTCTTCTCCCATGGAGCAGCTGGTGCGTCCAGCCCCCCAACGTTTTCATCGCTTAGCCTCTGTGTCACCAGAGCTTCTTTGCTGTTGTTAGGAGATGTTGAGCCAGTTTTGACCTCAGTGACCGTGCTGATGGCAAAGTGAAGCTGTCCATCCACACCACCCTCCGTCCAGCTGTGCGTAAGCCCCTGCTTCAGGCCATCTCACTGAGAGTTGTCCTTTTTTCACTGACCCCCATGTTACCATGAATGATGTCCTTCTCCAGGGACTGTCCCTCCACCCGACGACGTGTCCATAGCACGGAGACAAAGCCTCAATTCTTGGTTTTCAAGGAGCCCTCTGCCTGTGTTTCTCCCAGGCAGATTTCTTTGTTCCATAGGCCGCCCATGTGCACAATACTCTTCCCCAGTGTTGCAAACGAAAGGAAGCACTTCCTCCTTGGTCTTCCTTAGTCATTGTCCAGGCAGCTCAGGTGGGCTAGTCCGTAGGGAGCGTGGCACCGCTCTGGGGTTCGAACCCTCCAGCAGCTCTGCAGGAGGGAGGAGGGCAGACTACTTCTGAGCAGTTACGGCCTACAAAAACTGCTGGAAGGTTTGGAATCAGGTGCTCGGCTGGCCTTTGGAAACTGCTGGAGGGCTCGGAGTCAGGCGCTCGGCCATAGTGACTTCCAGCTTTCACAGGCACATGTAGAAAAGTAGGAAGGGCAAACCCCGCCCCCCCCCCAAGCCCAAAAAACCAAAACAGAAAAAACCACAACTGAAGACTTTAAAAAGAAAGAGTGACTTGGCTCAAATGTTGTTGTTGATTGCAGTAGAGTTGAGGTTGACTCATAGCGACCTAGTGCCTTTCCATAGCTATCATCATTTCTCCAAGTTCATAGAGTTTCCAGAGGTATGTGGTTAGGAAGTGGATGCCACACTTGCTTCCCAACCTGTTTTACACCTGGGAGCTCACCAAACACTGTTCACATTGGGAAGCCATTCGGGTATTTGATACCCCAGTGTTACAAGGTTCAGCATCACTTGGCTCATATAGAGGAGAACAAATGGTCATCCTCATTGTTCTTTGTCAAGAAAAGAGAAATAAGTGGAAAAATATTGAAAGTCGGTCAGGTTTTATGAGAGTCCTAAGTCTTACGGGAGAAGCCACTTTGGGTTGTTCTAAGAGGGCCCTCAGAGCCCTGATGGTATAGTGTGTTATTTGGTATGCTAGCCAAAAGGTTGATGCTTCAAATCCACCTAAGTGTCTGTGAGAGAAAGATGGACAGTCTCCTCCTTAAAGATGGACAGCTGGAAACCTGGCAGCGAGACACCTGGTGCCAGATGGACTCCACGGGGTGGAGGTGAGGGGGAGGCTTCTGGCTGGGCTCTTTCTAAGCCCAGAGACCTAATCGCGTGGTTTGTGTTAGTGGCCCTACAGGGAGCCAGGTATGATGGAAAGTTCTGCAGGGTGAGCCAAGGTCAAGCATTAGAGTTGGTGCTTTACCTTCCGGAGCTAATACTTAGAGAAGAACAAGGATTGTTATGAGTTTTAGTTAGGAGAGACAAATACAAAACACCACTGACTTCAACAGCATGGAGCACGCTGGAAGACTCCCTGACTCTCAGGAGAAAAAGTGGAATTCTGCTTTAGAAATTCCTGGTGTTTTCACAGATGTGGAATTGGCATAAACAATCCTGCTAATTAAAAAGCACGTGATCCAAAGTCAATGAAGCAGTCACATTTTATGAAAAATTCTTATTTCATAAACTTTTCAAAGTGTGACTAACTATATGCGCAACACAAGAATTCAAATTTCCCCCTCAGCGGCTGCTGAAGTCGTGGGGAAGGGTTCTAGTTACGGTATCGGGTGGTCATCCACCTCCACCGTAATTTCTTGGCTTCGTTTGCTTTGTACTCTGTGGGCTCAGCTAACCTGGTGTTGGATAGTTGATTCTGGCTCTCAGTGGCCCCACGTGACTGAGCAGAATTGCCCCACAGGGCTTTCTTAGTGGTTGAGCCCTTGTGGTATAGTGGATTAAGTATTGGACTGCTAACTGAAAGGTTGCCAGTTCAAGCCCACCGACGGCTCCATGGGAAGCAGATGAGGGAGCCTTCCTTGGTCAAGATTGTTGTGTGTGGTAGTAGCGTCGATTGGCTCTGACTTATGGTGACTTTATGAACCTTGCTGTGCCCTGGGCCGCCCTCAGCATCTCAGATGTGCTGGTGTCTGTTACGTTAGTTGCTGGGTCAAGCCCTTCCATTGAGGGTCCTCCTCCCTCTCAGTGACCTTCTACTTTCCCCAGCATGATGTCGCCCTCCAAGGATGGCACCTCCTGAAGGGAGAACAGTGCCATCTTTTTCTAAGGAGCACTCTGATTACACGGCCTTCAGGATGGACTTGCTTGTTCTCGCGGCTGGCCACGGGATATTCCGCACTCTTCTCCAGCATTACAGTCCAAAAGTGTGCATTCTTCTTTGGCCTGCCTTGTGCTTGTCCGACTTTCAGAAGCATAGGAAGCAATTGAAAATGCAATGCCTTCGGTGCACATTAGGTGATAAATGTGACAGCCTTGGGCATTTCTATGGTGGCCTCCAGGGCCTCTGAGTCAGAACTGACTTGCTGGCAGCTGGTTGGTTAGAACTGCCCACCTTTTGGTCAGCAGCTGAGGGATTAGCTACTGGTCAGCTAGGGCTCCGTTTCTGTGGGTTAGTCAGGAGGGTCTCCGTGGTGAGAACAGCCAGAACTCCCCAAGGGAGGAAAGTGGGTGCTCTGTGTGGTTTATAGTAACGTGGATGGTTCCCAGGGAGGGAGACTGGCCAATAAGTGGGTAAGTTGGGTGAAAGAAAAGACAGAGAGAAGTTGATTAGACACTGTAATTCATTACAGTGCACATTGGTGCGTGGTGTGTTCTTAGCCTCGACCCGAGAGGTATTCACTGTGGGTTTTGTCTTCACAGGCTCACGCCAAAGTCTGGCATCTCTACAACACTTCCTTCCGGGCAGCTCAAGGAGGCCAGGTGTCCATCGCCTTGAGCTCTCACTGGATCACCCCGCGGAGCATGACCGAGCACCACGTCCAGCAGTGCCAGAGATCGCTTGACTTTGTTCTCGGCTGGTTCGCCAAGCCCGTTTTTGTGGACGGCGACTATCCTGAGAGCATGAGGAAGAACCTGTCCTCCCTGCTCCCTGAGTTTACAGATGCCGAGAGACGGCTCGTCGAGGGCACAGCTGACTTTTTCGCTCTTTCCTTCGGACCCACCTTGAGTTTCCAGCTGCTGGACCCTCACATGAAATTCAGGCAGTCAGAGTCCCCCAGCCTCAGGCAACTCCTTTTCTGGATAGATCTGGAATATAACCACCCACAAATATTTATTGTGGAGAATGGTTGGTTTGTCTCAGGGACCACCAAGAGAGACGATGCCAAGTCTATGTATTACCTCAAAAAGTTCATAACGGAGACCTTAAAAGGTAGGCTTGTAGGGACAAGTCCATGCTCCTGCCAAGACCATAGGAAAAGCAGCGCTCGTGCACGTCCGTGGGCAGCTCTGGGCACTCAGTGAGCATCACGGCTCACCAAATGCAGGGTGTCTCTGGCTTGGATCACCAGCTTCTCCAAGGGAGAAAAATGGGCATTCTCCCATGTGATTGACAGCTTGCAAAGAATTAAACCAGATATGGATGGTTCCGGGGTGGGGGTGGGGATTAATAAATGGGTAAGTTTCATGAGAGGAAGGCAGAGAGAAGTTGATTAGACATTGAAATTAATTACATTACACATTACTAAATTGCAATTACTGCTATAAAACACACATGCATGAATGATAGAGTGAAAGCAAATTGATTTGTAAACTTCTACTAAAAAAAATAAAGTTAAAAAATAAGGTGGAAGCCTGATTAGAGGGTCACTGTGGGACAGACCCAGCTTGACCACCGTGAGCTGGGCTTGATTTAAGCTGTGGAGCTCAGTCTTTCTTGCAGGGTTTGGCTGGGTACCATCAAAGTAGAATTCAGGTAAGTGTTCAATCTTTGCTTCCGCCAAGGACTGATATAAGCTTATTTTCAAAGGTATTTATGTGTGGAGGAATCTAGGTTTGATTTGAGCTTCTATGGATAAGAAAAACACCCTTGCTTTGCCTAGCAGCAGTCTACTTAATTAACTTCCGCGCGTTTGAAACCATCGAGTGCTCTTGAGCCCTGAGGAGGATGTGCGGCAGAGGGTCACCTTGTTCTTGTCTTCTCTTCACAGCCATCAGGCTGGATGGGGTCGATGTCGTTGGCTACACCGCGTGGTCGCTCATGGACGGCTTTGAGTGGCACCGGGGCTACAGCATCAGGCGTGGGCTCTTCTATGTTGATTTTCTAAGCCAGGACAAGAAGCTGTTGCCCAAATCCTCGGCTTTGTTCTACCAGAAGCTGATAGAGGACAATGGCTTCCCACTTTTGCCTGAAAATCAGCACCTGGAAGGGACGTTTGCCTGTGACTTTGCGTGGGGAATTGTCGACAACCACGTGCACGTAAGTCAGCTGGCAAGCCCTCCGGCAGCCCCCGCAGCCCCGTGGCGTGTAAGCTGGGGTTTGCATGAGTCTGTATTTGTGGCCCCTGCTCCCATCTGTCATGAGCACCGGACACATGAGATCGTGAATTGGAAAGGGCCCGCTTCTCTCCTTCCTCGCTATATCTGTTTTACATCTGAGCTGAGGAGAGAGAACTTTGAACTGATTGTCTGGTAAGGACCGTAGAGGGAGCCCTGGTAGTGTGGTGGTTAAGCTACGAGGCTGTTAACTGGAAGGTCAGGGGTTGGGACCCCCAGCTGCTCCCTGGGAGAAAGAGAAGGCAGTCTGCTTCCCTAAAGATCGTAGAAGTGGAGACCCCCGGGGCAGTTCCACCCTGTCTACTTTACAGTGAGAATCTTTGTCTTCTTGACATTGAGCCTCAATCCATATCGTAGGCTGCAGTCCTTGACCCTCCGCAGCAGGTGCTTCAGGTCCTCCTCAGTTTTAGCAAGCAGGGTTGTGTCATCCGCGTAACGCAGGTTGTTGATAAATCGTCCACCAATCTTGACCCCACATTTCTCCTCATAGAGCCC